GGGAGATGGTGTCAAAGGCCTCACTAAAGTCTAGGCAGACAACGGCCACAGCCTTTCCCTCGTCCACCAAACAGGTCACCTCGTCATAAAAGGAGATAAGATCGGTCAAGCAGGACCTGCCCTTCCCAAACCCCTGCTGACTGGGCATGGGTTCATTCAGCTCCGTGAACCCACTGCCCAGCATTTCTAACCCAGAGCTATCATTTGTGTGGCAATTTTACCCTCCCCCCAACTTGGAGCATAGATATTTCAGTGGAGATCTGCCTTAGATAGTTTGTCAACACCATCCATGAGCTTGGATATGGATGACTTTGTTTCTCATACGGTTTCTGGACTTTTTAATTGGAAAAGGAGGCTGTCTTCATTGAGAGGAGCCAGCTTCTCTGAAGCTGGTGTGGCTGCACTTTGGCCCACATTACTCGTACTTGCTCTCGGGTGTTCTTGCTTCCCTTTTTCTTTTTTAAATTTACCAATATTTTTTAAAACAGTTGCAAAACTACATGATTACTAGCATGTGTATTTCACTGTCCTCTAAAAGACTCTTCCCCCATCTCTTTCTAGCCGGTATCTGCTTAGTTTGATGTAAGTGTCTTGCACATCTGCCTGTGCTCGTTTCAGTGATAAGAGAAGTAGAGTGTGTGAGCAATAGATAAAACTTCATGCTGGTTAAAATATATCCACTTCTAGTTAATTATAACCTGGACATCCTCTCCTAAATATAGACTTGCTTGAGCTATTATTAACATTGGCTTTAGAGAAACCTCTTTGAATTAAGAGACTGTTCCCTTGTATTTGCTCTTCTGCCAAAGGAAGAGGGCTAACTGAAGGCCATATTGAATTACTGAATGCAGTTCTTTTCCTTGCTGCTTTTCTGTGTCAAATTCTTTAAACCTCAATAATTTGCTGACATTTTATAGCTGGTTACAGCTATGCAGCACGATTTAGGGTACATTTTTATCTGAGTAATCTCATTACTTTGTGAACACGGGCAGCCGTGACACACGGTGCGGTGCTGAGCTTGCCAGCGCTCGGGAGGCGCGGTGGGCTGGCAGCGTCCCTGCCGGCAGGCCTTTGGTCTCACCTTTCCCTTGAATCTGTATGGAAATGCTTTCTTGGTGTTTTGATGGAAGAACTCCTGGTCTTTCAGGTGAAACGCAAGTGTGAGGTAGTTTTACAGGTGCAGAGTTACAGTGCGAGAACCTGAAGGTTAACGTGTAAATTGTGGCCTCTGCAAGTTGTGCTGCCGGGCACACACGTCACACATCGATTGTCCCTGCAGTTTCAGTGGGGCAGCGCAGGATCACAGCCTTTTGCAAATTCTGTGTCACATCAGACAAATGCATTTTGTTTACAAATGTCTACATACTTAAGCGTAATCTGCTCCCAACAAGGCTCCATTATTCCTTGTAAATACACTGATTTCATCAATGAAAGTGGGCTTACTTTTTTTTTCCCCCTTTTTTTAAAGTATCTCTTTAGGGATTTGCTTGTAACCAGTTGAAATATATTTGATTGTCAGTTGAGTATCTTTGGTAGCTAAGGTGAGGCTTAAAGAAGCAGGCAGTCACACAAATGTGAGGCCTGGGAGTTTTAATTTTCTTTAGTGTAACATCTCAGTTTTCTACGCTGACAAAATTCCCCTTGGAACAGAACCAGCCCGAGCTGCGGCGCGTCGTTCAGCTTGTTGATCTGGCTGAGAACTCAGCTTTGAGACAGGGCTTAGGAAAAGACTTGCCCGTATTTTTTTCCCCCACTGGTAGGTAGGCTTTCACATAGGTTTTGGTTTGTGGGAAATCCCTGTATATCTAAATAAAGAGAATTCCTGGCCAGTGCTCGGGCAGTCTCACACAGGCTTGCCCAAGCAGCTTGGTTTGAGTGGGTTTTTGTCATATCGAGTTCTAACATGTCATGTAACCGTGCTATTTCTGAATTAAGAGCCCAGGATTTTATTTATTTAACACATTTTCTAGAAAACTTCCTCATAATGTGAAAGTAGAGGTTGACATTTAGGGCACAGAGAGTTCAAAGTTGTTTTGTTGCTTCTGTTTTCAGCGGGCAGTCAGGGCAGGCAGAGACTGGGACACCAGACGTGAAACATTTGTGGTGGGGCGTGGAAGTTGTGTGGAATGGGCAGCTGCACCTGCAGAGATTGCTGCTTCCAGGGCAGCACCTGAGCAGTCGGCTACTGAGTGTATTTTGACTTTTCTGAACTCTGGTCAGAATTTCCCCACCTGGAAACAGCAGTCAGTCATGCAGCGCATGCAGTGCTGCACGGGCGCACACAGGGACCTCTTTGGGGTGTTTTTTGTGGGGGAAGTATTGGCTTGCGGTTGGTGGTTGGTTTTTTTTTTGGCTTGTTTTGCTATTTTTCGTGACCTAATGATGTGCTTGCATTTTGTAGCTCTGGCTATGGGCCTGTGTGTTGCAATGATAGCCTTTGTTCGGCTGCCGAGCCTGAAGGTTTCCTGCTTGCTCCTCTCTGGATTACTAATTTATGATGTCTTTTGGGTAAGTGTTTTGTTTGGTTTTGCTAAAACTGTTTTTATCCTTTGGATTTGTAATTGGCCTTGGGCCATTTTAACAGGAGTTGAACTAGTATGGAGTTGATGCAATCTGGCAAAGCCAGAAGAGCGGCTTCATTGCTCCTTTCTGAGACGTTCAAGTCTCAGGATACAGAATGATTTCCTCACTAATTGCTTGACAAAAGCAGAAACTTTTTATTAGACTATTTTAACTTTGGTATATTATTTTTAAAAAAGAAATTGGCCCTCAAATTTGGAAAGCCTGGCTGAAGATCAGAACAAGCATTTCCAAGTGAGCACAAGGCCTTATCCATGCTTGCGTGGTCCGTGCGTGCCAACTGCTGATTAGCAGCAAAGTGCACAAAACGGGAATGCAAACGGATTTATTGCCAGTGAGGTTGGCATAAAATCTTGCTGCACTTTGACAAGAAACCTGACGATATATTTGTAATACTGAAAGGGTTTTGTTTTACCTTTGCACAAGACTGAGCACTGATCCAGGGCAGCGCTTGCTGACGGCTCTGGCGGGCAGTCAGCTTCCCGGCGTGCTGAGCCTGTTTGCAGCAAGCGCTGCATCCCTGCGCTGGTGAGCGAGCACCGCGCCTGCCTCTTCTCCGCTTTGAAGCTTTCTCATATTTTCAGTATCCCCTTTGTAGCCCTGGCCTACCTACTTCAGACAGATCCTTTGCCAGAGTTACTGATCAATGTCTCGGAGGATTAACAGTGTAAAAAACTTCATCTGAATTTTTGAAATACATTTTACATTTTATCATCATCTGTACAACATACGAACATGAAAAATTTGGACAATATCTTGTTTTCTTGAATAAGCAAAGTGAAAACACACGCAGCTTTGAGCTGCTGCATATTTGCAGTTTGTAGTCTCTGATTGTTTCCTTCCTCCGCAGGTCTTTTTTTCTGCCTACATCTTTAACAGCAATGTTATGGTGAAAGTGGCCACACAACCAGCGGACAATCCCCTTGACGTTTTATCCCGGAAACTTCACCTGGGACCAAATGTGGGTAGAGATGTTCCACGCCTGTCGCTGCCTGGTAAACTTGTCTTTCCAAGGTAAAATCAGCCATTCTCTTACTGTATTGTATAAGAAAGATTGATTTTTCCCTCCTGTGCTCTGTAGTAGCACTAATTCTATTGGAAAATGTCAGCTTAGCTCTCTGTTCAGTCACTCCCTCTTCATGATAAAAAGATTAGTAATGTGTGGTGAGGATTGGACACTGTGTTTGCTGACTCATGGCATGCAGAAATGATCCGAACTGGGTTAAAAGGTGGCCTGTCCAGAACAGGATCGGCTTTTCGCCATCTGTGCGAGTTCTACACTTCGACAACAGCTATTGTGGGATTTATGGCCTAATGCTTAAAAGCAAAAGCCCTGAGGTGTATCGTAACATCAGAACAGCTTGACTGCTGCGTAACGGCAAGTGCCTGGGAGGGGAGTCACGCACCGATCCAAGCACGGACGGCTTGCCCAGTACACGCTCTGGGAGGGAGCTCATTCCACACCTCTCTGCTGCTGGGGCTCCTTGGTGTCTGAGGGTTTGATCCAGGCCCGACGGGGCAGCGAGCTCCTGTGTGTCAGCAGTTACACAGTGCGTTATGTTGGCTGATTTACCCTCTTCTTGTTTCTTTAGATGTTGGGATGCTGAAATTACAGAGATTAGGAGTTGATTGTCTGCAATGATAGAATTGCTCATCTTGTCAACTTTGTAATAACTTAAATTGGCTTCATTTTCATGAAAAAAAATCGTGGCTTTAAGATAGTTGGCAATTTTGGTTCTAATCTACTTAGCAATTTGCTCTTTTCTGGGAATCTGGTGAGACTGTAATAGTTTTCTGTGTGTTTTGTCTGAATGAGGCCAAAGATCTGATCAGTCCATAAACTGAGTTTACTGCCTTGTGCTAGAGGTGATGTGTGCACGCAGGAGTGAAGGTGCAGGGTCTGTCAGCATTAATCAGTTTGATAGAACGGTCAGCTGGTACCTCCCATCGACTCTTTGGAAAGAGAAGATTGACATTCTGAGTTGATGGATCTGTTTTATTGAGTGAGTTAAGAGCAAAAGCGGCTTAAACACTCCTGGTGGAAATAAACTGGTTTGGAGCAGCGTGTCATTACTGTTGCAGTGGGTGTATTTAAAACTGAACCGAGGTGGTGGTCAAATCCCCGAGGACAAAAAATCTTCAATGGCCGGCATTTAGTTTCTCCTACATAAAAGTTTGCTGGCAAAAGAAGGGATGTGCAAAATGAAGCTCAGAACCGAAGTGGAGGAGCCTGGAGCCTGTCACCTTTTGTCTCGGGCATGAACCCAATTGCAGTTGCTCTCCAGTTCCACAGGCAGCCACTTCTCCATGCTGGGGATCGGGGACATCGTGATGCCGGGTCTCCTGCTCTGCTTTGTGCTGCGTTACGACAACTACAAAAAGCAAGCCAACAACGATTCCTGTGGTGCCCCAGGACCTGGGAACATCTCTGGGCGTATGCAGAAGGTCTCTTACTTTCACTGCACACTTATTGGATATTTTGTAGGTGAGTAATTAGTTCAATATGGATAGTGCTCAGTGAGCACAGGTGGGATTATTGTAGTGGGTTTAAAAGATGATGAAAGCAAGCGTAAAGAGGCTTTGGGAGAACACTTGGTTATGTTCTTTTGTAATCCTCCTCTCGTTGGGTTTCATTGGCATTGTATGAGAAGAAAAAACCCTTCTACAGCCTTCTTTTTAAGATTTGTTAGTTGATTTTTTTTTATTTAGAGGATGAAAGAGATTATCGGTGTGTTTTTGTTAGCAACTTTTTGTGCTTTGCTTTGCTGGCATACAGGGCACTGTAGCTCCTACTTGGGTTAAGGGAAAAATACGGGAGTTTGCAGATGGAGTGTGCTGTGCAGGGCGTCTGGGTAATTCCTGCATTTTGCATTCTGCTGTTAATGCTTGCGATCCTGCGGTGTTTTAGTGCGTCCTGACAACTCTAAGGAGTCACACCTGGAATGCTGTTTATGATCTGATGTAGCCATCCCTCTCCTCCCGAACATAAAACAGATTTTTCCCTAACGTGAGGACAGTGTGTGCATACCTCGACCTGCTGCAGTCCTGGGGCTGAAAAGCAAAGATTATTTCCTACCATAGCTTTTCTCCTCCCACTCCACCCCCAGCTTTCCCCTGACATTCCCTTTGGGCAAGCATCCAGGAACACCACTCCTGGGGTGTGCAGTCCTTCCTCTCAGCCCCACTTCTCAGGCCAGGGGCCTCAGACTGACAGTCTCAAGAGGTACCAGCACTTCAGTGAGGTGCATTCAACTTCCTCCCCTTCGCCTTTTGTTGTTTCATTTGAGTTATTTTTAGCTTAGTCTTTGAGATCCAAAACTGGAGCAAGTGGCTCAACACAGCCTAATACTAAAATAGAATAATTTTTCACTGTTCTGTTTGATGTTGATCTGTTTGGAGAAAGCAAAGCGCAGATGAGTAACTTTTCCACAGCTTTTCTGTCTCTCAAAATGGTGGGGAAGGAAGCTGCGTGTGGATGAAATGGTTACAACACCCACACGCAACCCAGAGATAATTCACGGTCACTGTTTTCTTTCTCAGGTCTACTAACTGCAACAGTAGCTTCTCGTATTCACCGGGCAGCCCAGCCTGCCCTACTCTATTTGGTACCATTTACTTTATTGCCGCTCCTCACCATGGCCTATTTAAAGGTAAGACGGGATTACGCGTTCGCAGCAGGAGGCGCTGGGGTCAGCTGGAGGCGGCTCCGGTGTTCTTGCGCTGGGCACCAGTTCTGGTGAGGACGCGCGTCCTTAACCGCCCTGGCCCAGAGCTGCGGTGCGGCTGCTGCTGGGGTGAGACTTCGTTGTGGAGGACTGAGCAGCTGAGAGATGAGGTCCTGCAATAGAAGATAATTTACGTACATACAGCACCAGCAGTTATAAACTAACCCAGTGCTGAAGCATTACATGCTGTTTTAATTAAATAAGTGAATTTGACCTCACCCAGCTGGTCATAAAAGAATGCGAGCACAAAGGTCGAACAGAGCCTGGAGAGGCAGATCCTTGTTTACCTCTTTCCAGTCACTTGTTCTGATCTGAAATTTTAAAAGGTAGCCTTTCCTGTGGCAGGGCTGTTGTTGAAACACACTTGTAGTGCTCTGCAGAGTGGAGCCTAAGAAATGGCAGAATTTTCCACCTGCATAAATATTTCCCTCCCATCAGAAACCCATTTCAGTTAGATCTGCCGCTCAAACAAGGTGTTCTGGCCTGACAGGGAAAGGACTTATTTTTTATTGTGATTTATTGTCTTTATTGTAATTTGCAAAACGGGTGAAGAGCAGATGTGCTTTAAGACATGCTTGCAGTTACAGATGCCTTTTAAAACCCGAGTTCTAAGTGACGTTACAGTTTCTGAGGGCACGGTCCTTCTGCTGTGTTCCTGCCTAGGGCGATCTACGTCGCATGTGGTCCGAGCCTTTCCACTCCAAGTCCGGCAGCTCCCGTTTCCTGGAAGTATGATGGAACAGATAGGAAGTGACCTGAACTTCTGCCTTGGTCCTTTTCACTTTAACTTGTGGCTTTGTTGTCTCCTCAAGCTGGACTGGCTGGTACTCGGGAAGGTACCAATTACGGGACTTGTGTGGAAGGACTTTGTATTACGAGGAGGAAAAGAAAAGCTAAGATCCTGGAGCTCCGTGTGACTCCGCATCCCCCTGCAGATGTGGAACTGGGGACCCTTTGTGCAACTGCAGCCACTTTGCTCTTTTCCTCGCTCGGATGGATTAGTACCAGACTCTTACCTTTGTGAGGGAGGAAGAGAGAGACTTGAAACTGAAAACGGCTCGGAGTCGTTCAAAAACTCGTGAACACTAAACGAAAAAACGGTTAAGCAAACTGAAGCTTCTTCAGAGAACCCCTTGTGGACACTGGGACCAGTTTCCTGCTGGACTTCGGTTTGAAATGAACTGCGACAGACGGTCTTCTGTCACTATATTGGGTTTTTTGATTTATTAAATATTTCCTGTGGTGTGAGGTTACTTATTAAATCCACAGACATTGAGTGACTTCTTGCAGTATACATATACAGATTTGTTGTAACGAGTTACATTTCCACCCAGATGTCATGTTGCAGTGAAAAAGGGCACGATTTTTATACATATATATATACACACATATAGATATATATATGAATAAATAAAAAGGAAAACCTGCTAAGATCATGCTATGTAGCAGACAGGGGCTTGCTGTAATTTTTAGCATGTAGAGCAGTTTACTATGGCTTTCTTGTATATGGATCTACAATGAGCTGCTGTTTTCTCCCCCCTTCTACAACTGAACCTGCAGTTTCAAACCAAGTGTAGTATTTGTACTGATTGTACTCATGGACTTTAGGGGATATTTGAGTTTGATCAATGTAGCAAACTAGGGAAGAAAAAAGTTCAAACCCAACCCTGTTTGTCTGAGGGGGGAGGGCGGAGGGGTCTCTTTTTCTCTTTTATTTTTCTTTTCTTTTTTTACCAACAGCTCCCGTGCAGGTTTTTAGGAGTTCCTTCTCGACCCAGTGCATGTATTATAGCAGCAGTTGTCTTTGTGCTTTCTGATCACAGTAACGTATCACTTGTAAATACATTTTTTCTATTTTCTATTTTTTTGTATTTTTTGCATTTTGTTTCATTCCTGTGCTGTATTTTTTCCATGCCCCTGCCCCTTAAAGACAAAAAAAAAAAAAAAAAAGGAAAAAAAAAAA